CCACCGCCCCCTGCCACTCAAGGCTCGCTACCGCTGGCGGCGCGCGCGCGCGCGCCCGCTAAAGACACTCAACGGACCAATCGGGAAGGACAAATGGCTTTGCTCCGCCCCCCGCGGTCTCACGCAGCGACGCCCTGGTTCCCTCCCCCACCTCTTCCTTAACCAATCAGGAAACGGCTCTAAGGGAGCGCGCGAGGTTTCCTTCCCCGCGCACCCGTTCTCACCGTTAAACGGCTGTGTCTCGCGACAATCCCAAAGTGACCTTTTCTCCCCACGCTGGAGCTCAACGCGCGCTAGGGGCAGTGGGAGGGGCAGGTCCTGCGAGGAGGTTGGTGGGAGGGGAACGCACCTCTTTTCCCGCCTCGCGCGCACCCTGAGCAGGCTGCGCGCGCACCTGCCTCCCTAAGGAGTAGCTAATGCCACAAGGGTTCTTTCCATCCTTCCTTAAGCCGCGGAAGTAGCCTCCGTGTTCTGCTTCCACTCCGATCCCACTTTCCTGTCTGTGGCCTTTCTGTCTTCAGGGCCGCCAGGTCTTGCGGCGAGACGGGGGAAATTTTTGAGCTGTCGCTTCTCCTTTAAGAAAAAAGTCCAGTCGGCTGCCGGATGAAAGTCCCCGAAAAAATGGCGGCGGTAGAACAGAGGCGGGGTCGTGAGGGCAAGGAGGAGCCGCCCCTTGGCACATGCGCACCGTTAACTTACGAAAGGCATCCTGGGAAAAGAAGTCCTACTTAGCCTATGTTTTAGGGAAAAAGATAAGAAACCGAAGGCGAGAAGAATTCTGGGGTTTTTAGAACTGTTGCACAATGGGAAGGGTAGTTTGCTCTTTCGGCAGTTGTAATTTCCTTTTCAAGGAGGAAGTGTTTCCGGGTTAGTCCGTGACGTATGCGTAGGTTGGAGCAGAAATGTTGGGCTAGTTGCTGGTTGGGATTACTTTCGGCAGCTTTCCCGACTGTTTTAGTTGACGTTGGTAAAGCATTTCTGTGGTGGCCACGTAATAGCCCTTATCTTGTTTTGCACCTCCTTGGGACCAGCTGGCGTTAACGTCTGCGTTATTCGTGTCGTCATTCGGTGTCTGACCCACTAACCTGTGAGTCCTTGGAGGTCAGGGACTGAAGTTGGTACCATCTGGTCTTGGGGTGCCTAGTACGATTCCGATCAACTCATTTCGTTTCTAATAAAAGTCTATAGAGTTGCTTTTCTACTAGACGTCTGAGCCAAGGAGCTGGTGTTTGTGGTTTGTGGCTTAACTTACCTGTGGTCTCTGGCCTGCAAGCTAAAAGGGTTGATAGCGTGACTCCGTGACCTACCCAGAAAAACAAGTCCCCCCTTCTTGCTCTCCGCCCCAAAGCCACCTGCATCTGCGGTTTTTAAATGTTTCTGCTGCACAGGAAGCATGGTCAAAAGAGCAGATCTGACAAAAATTACTGCTTACTAGCGTGTCAGCTAAATTACCTAATAAGTCAAGTGGGAGTTTCATTTGCTCATCCCCAAGTTGCATTTGGTGATGGCAGTGGGTCTTTAATTCCTTCCTTCCTTTTCATCCATTATAATCAAGGAGCTGTTTGAAAGGGCAGTTCTTACGTCTGGAAAATAAGGTATTCTGGGTGAAAAACCCCAAAAGAAAGACGATGGAAACAAGATCTGGGGATCCAGTTATGAATTTCACTTGAATCATTCAGTTAAACTGCAGATGGAGTGCAATATTTGCAAGCCAAGTGCCAAAGTGCGTTTTTCCTTCTAGCATTTTGGCTCAATTACCACTGAAGATTAGACAAATGTTTTATACTCTGTTGAGTCTTTTGCACTTTCATAGGGTTATGGCATTTCAGTCGTGAATAAGGCATTGTATAGATAAGCATTTTCAAATCTGTTCGCAGTGAGCAGACTTTTGGAGCAGCACTGACATCCAACGGCTGCTCAAAGTAATGCAGAGTGAGAATCTCCATTAAAAAAAAACAAAACAAAACAACAAAAAAACTTGAGTCCTCAGGGGAATGGAGAATGAATGATTCCTTCAGATGAAACTAAAAAGCCACAAGAGTTGCATGTGTGTTTTGCATGCAGTGTAAAAAAAAGACCACTGTGCTGTAGAGGAAAGATCACAGATTTGAAGTTAAATCTGGACTATAATAGATAGCAAATCTACCTATTAATTGTTATCTTTACCTAAATTACCTTTACTAATTGTTACTATTCCCTGAATTAATTTCACTGCTGGTAAAAATGGGGATATTTCACAAGGCTATGATTATAGTTCTTTACATGCTGCCTTCTCCCAGCAGGCCTTTTGTTAAATGTTCTGTTTCATCAAGGTGAATAAAATAGCGGTAACCTCAGCCTTATTTCTCAGAGAGACTGCTGTAAGGCTACTTGTAACTAGGCAGGAATTAAGCTTAATTGAGATGTCTGCAGTTTAGCTCCTGGTGTCTTAAGTCTACCAGTTTCATTCTTCATGACCCCTTAGTTTGCCTTTTAGACCACTGAAATAAAGCAGGTCGTGGAAATCCAAATGTGAATATGTCTCTGCTCTGCATTTCATGGATTTAAAATCTATTCAGGAAAGCAGATAAGCATAATTCCTGGATAATTAAGAAAAAGACAGCAAAATGAATTGGGTGCTGGTTATCTCTGATGGAAATTTATGAAGGAAACTATGCTTCCATGGTCCCTCAGCTTCACAGAAAAAAAAAAAGCAGTTTTCCTGGTGCAGAGTCACAGCAGGATACCCATATTGGGAAAAAGATTCAAGTCCAAATCTGACATTCCCATGAATGCAGATCAATCCTGGCACTTGGTAGGTGCTCAAATTTTTCAAAATTGATTCTGCGTCTTTTTCACTCTAGCCAATGCATTGCCAGAACTCAAATCCTACAATCTGCCTTTCAATGTCAGCCCCATTTTTAAAATTCTGACCTATAAAAAAAGAAGAAAAAACCTCACCAAAGCAAAAGAGAGGAAGTGCTAAGCAAATACAGGAACCAAAGAGGGCTATAGAGGCTGCTTCACACTGTCTCATTTAGTTCTTTTGCGGTCCTCATCCTCAGCACATGCCAAAGCTGTTCCTTACAACCTGTGGGGCCAGAGCGTCTTGGGTGTGTGACAATGGAAGAGTTGGGTGAGTGAGGAGATTCTTGGAGGAGAAATTCTGAGGGAATGAAGACTTGGCTGTCATGTCTAGTGGTGGGCTGTACTTCTAGCCAGATGGAGGGTAATGCTGGAAGATTTTATTTTCACTTCTCTCCTGCTCTCAGCCAAACCAAGAGTGAAGCTTGAGGAACTATGATTGTTTTAGGGAACTATGGGTTCAGTTTTCAGTGGCAAAATAGGCAGAGAGTTTGATGCTACCCACAGAGTAAACTCTGCACAAATACTTTTCAAATTGTGACTGCAATTGTCATTTTATTATGAGCATTTTGTCTCTTGAGGGCTATTGGAGATCATAGGGTGGTCACACAGCAACTACAGAGATGTGATATGGGGAGAAAATGAAAGAAAGGGGGTAGCAAGAAATGGAGTCATGAGGAGGAGAAGTGGAGTGGAAGTACAAGAATGAGGGATCTGCAAAAGTTGGAGAAAGACCAGGGTGGTTTCATTTGTCCCTTGGTTTAGTATTGAATCAAGAAGACTGATCAGTGTAACAACAGTGATTTTGTTGTTGAGCTTTTATCAGAGGAACTATGAAGGCACAGATTACTGTGTTGCAAATATGGTACCTCTTTCCACTCCACAGCAATCAAGGCCAGCAGTGAAACTATTTGCCGCATTTGTCAGAGAGATCCATGATTTCAAACCTTTAGAGTAGTGTAAGGTTTGTCATTCTTGGGGCTCATTCATATTTTGCCGACTTTTGTTGCAGCCATCTTTGTTAACAGTCATTAATCTTTATCCAATTTCCATTTGTACTAATTCCTCTTGTCCTGGGTTTTGTATGTTTGGAGTATGTCAAAAGTGCAAAAAACACGTCTTGCATATCTGTTTTTTTTTAACTGTTTGGCATTTGACTTGAGAGCTGGAGGAGTAAAGGAAAGAAGGAAGGCAAATTACAGGAGGAAAGAGATGTTAATGAAGCAGAAAAAGTGGTGTTTAATAAATATTGAACTGTTTTGGAGGTGAAGTCTATTTTGATAATTGGAGTGGAATGTACTTCGGATTTGGGGTAGAATCCAAACTCTTGCCCTGTGTAAGGGTTGGGGAAATTCACATTTCCATCTGAGTTCACTAGAGTCCAGCTCTTCTTCTTAGTTTGGGGATACCTAATGGTTTCATGCATGTGATTCAAAAGAGAACTAATACTTATTCAGTGACTTATGCTAAAACTAGACATTTTTACATGTTAATCATTTTAGTGTTTGAAGCAAACCTCTGAAATAGATATTATCCACTTTTGTTTTTTAAATGAGAAAACTAAGGAAAACAAAGTAACTTGTTCCACATCACTCTCAGGAGCACCTGACACCAAAGCAGATTAAGCTACAAGGTGTCCTCCTATTTTGGAGGTGTGTTGGCTCAGGTGTTCCAGCCAATAGAATAACCCAGATCATTATAAAATTTAAATAACAGATCTGCACACGTTTGCATTTCTTGGAACAGGATGAATGGTAGTCTGGCCTAGAAATGTAGAATGTTCCAAGCAGCCTGGAAGGTAACATTCACGTGTATTATCCAGGTGGCTAATCCTCAACTGATTCTTCAAATTATCATCAGCTCAGTAACCACTTGTAAGACTTAGTGTGGGTCTTTCTTTCCTATTGCAAAAACATAGCGTGAAGGACAGGTCAGCACAGGCGGCTGACATTTCCTCTGCAGTACTCCCTCCAAGACTGTACCCTGAACATTTTTACCTAAATATTCATTATACAACGATGCTGGGTAAAGTGGAACCAGGAGCAGACTCTGGCTCTGAATGAAATCATTATAATCCAGGAGACCCCCAATAGACCTAACT